AGAATAGATCAATGAAATGTTATTATCCCATTAAAAATATATGAAACTAAAACCATCAATACACACCTTAGTTAGTTCATTTTGATTTTAGCCAAAATTCATCATCTTGTCAATCTCCTACTTCATAATCATGTGATTGAGTATAAAGATTTTATTTGATATTTTGTGTTTTTTATTTCTTCAGTTCCAATACTGTTGATGGCGATGCAAACATGTCATCAATGATAAATTCGGTAGAGGAATGTTCTTTATCTAAACAAACTCACCAAACTAACAATTGTGAGCCAATTGTTGAGTATCATGAAGATAAAATTTATCATTGAAGATACTCCTCGCAAATGTACTACTCGCAGAAGTAGTCCTCGCACAAGTTCTTATGATGCATTGAAGAGGAGAAATGTAGATATAGTGTGGATGTATCAAAAGCCGTAGTGCCAAAGAAATGGAATGACATTGATGCATTAAAGAGGAGTAATGTAGCCGATGTATCACAAGCCGTAGTGCCAAAGAAGAAATGAGAGTTTCCTCGTTGAACTGAACGTGTGGTGTAAGTATCTTGTGTTATGATCTGTGTCATTTATGGGCTATCTAATCTAATTTTTGTTCGTTTTGTAGTTATGTGCTTCCTAATGATCATGAGTTTCTCCGCAATGTAAGTGTGTGTGTATATTAAAAATTAGTCACGTTTAATCTCTTAAAAAACATTTGTTTGTCACGTTTATTATAGTTTGTGAAAAGAGAAAGTGATGATCACTAGTACCTTCTTTTGATTGGGGAACCATGTATGACAACTTTATTTATCATCGTCATTTATAAAGATAAATCACATTTTCATTGGATTACTTTTAGGTGAAATGTCGAGTCTACCAGTCGAACGATGTCAGTGCAAGTCCACATGTTCTCTTTTAGGATGAACAATATTGGTAAGTAGAATCTATATAATTTAACATTCTTAAATTGTTAACTTTGTAATTTACACGGATAAGTGCATTTGCATTTGAACAGATTCCTCACAGAACACCGGTGCAAGGAAACTTTCCATTAAATGGAACTTATTTTCAACTCAATGAGGCAAGTTTTTCTGTCTAATTCTCTAAGAGAAAAATGTTTTCGTCTTTAGTGAGGTGATAAAGAACTCCTACATTATTTCCAGGTATTCGCAGATTATAAGACAAGTGTCAAACCTCTTGTCTTTTCTAGCCACTTGTGTGACGGGCTAGAAACACGTGCATTATATTACGGTTCAACAGTGACAAACATTCCTAAATTCTTGGAAGAATCACAGATTCACTTGTGGTTTGCCATAGGTAACATTTAGTTTATTATTGAAAAAATTGTAGAATTGTTTTCTAAAATACCAATCAATTAATGTGGTAGCAATGTGCAAGATTTTTATATGTCTGAGCAATCGATCGAAAGGAGGGGTCACCAAAGCCACTCGTGAAAAGACTAATGTGGTAGCAATGTGCAAGATTTTTATATGTCAGAGCAATCGATCGAAAGGAGGAGTCACTAAAGCCACTCGTGGAAAGACTGCATAAACCAAAATGATGACTACACATGTTCTTTTCATTCATTTTTCAGTTTTAAGAAAGATTTAGAAAATAATCAAAGAATATAAAAACAAATGAGCTCGTATAAGATTTTTGACAGCTTTTATTATGGCTATTAAATGATTTGACAAAATCTATGGCTATTATAAGATTTGAGAGCTATAAAAATCTACGAGTGAACGAGACAAAACATAAAGATAGGTATCTTCCTTTGGTGTACTTGTTCATCATTTGCTACTCATGGGAAAGATTTGGCACACAATATGAAATTATTCCAGATACACGATAAGTGAGACTGTTGTGGGATTGACTGTCCTGCTTCGTTTCACAAAAGAGTGTTTGGATGCTTAGTTTGGTGGTAATGAGGATCTTGGAAATCCATTTTGTCCTTTTTGCTTGTTCTAGGTGAGAGACAAAGCCATCGATGCAGAAAAGACAAGTCTTCAAGTAAAGAGATGGAAAATAAGGAAAACGGAGAGTGTTCTGATATGTCAAGAGTATAGAAACTTATGTGGTGATGAAGATGGAGAGCAAGAACATTCAGTGGATAGTATTTTTCTCCATTATAAATTAGCTGTTGTCTCGTATTTAGTTGTGGCTGATTTTGGCTTCGGTGAGATTTTCTTTATCATTTGTTTTTTTCCTACACTCTTATATGGACATGAAAACCGTATCGTTTCAAATTGACATGAGATCTTGTCTGCTGCGATATGTCAAACTTACATTCAAATTATAGTATAATCTTTCACTTCATCATGCTTTTTTTTCCCTAGGACTTAACTGGTTTTTGTGGTTTTTCTTTGGTAGACGCGCTCGATGTTGCTGTTTTCTGTCTTTCATTAATGGGAACAAACTATCTAGTTGGCACGTAGAGTTCTTCGTCCAAAGTTTTTTTTTTTTTTTTACTTTCCAGTCTCTTTCCAAACTTGATGAAAGTTCCAACAAAAACACACACAAAGTTGTGGGCACAGTCACGCATATATCACATGTAAAGCTTGTCTGCGTAATTATTGTAATGGTCCATGCAAATGGGATGCATGTCTCTATATATCAAAAATGTATAAGTCTACTTGGCCACATATTCAGTTTATAAGCCAATGAGAAATTTTGTACATATGCTACCAACATTTCAGGTATTTAGATGTTTTATTCAAAAGAAGAATAATATGATCCAAATAATGACAAAAGCCAAAGACTGTATGACATCGGAGCCTAAAATGTCATACTTCTATTCAGAAGACACTCTTGGTCGTATCTAATTTGAATCAATTTTAACTCTCTGCCCATTTCTTAATTTTTTTGATTGTTTTATAAACTCTGAAGATTATAAGTTAATTTTTCCTACTATATTTTTCCTTTCTTTTTTAATCAGGGGGATAGAATACAAGCTTTTATCAAAAGTAGTCTGATATCTAAATTCGAAAAGTTTCTTCAAGAAGGAAAGTGTCGTACAATTATGAATTTCGAATTGTTGCCTAATCGTGGTAACTATCGATGGAGCTCACACCCTTACAAAATAAACCTATTATTCACAACATTTGTGAAGGATTATGAGGATATTCCAAACTTACCGCTGCATTATAACTTCACTAGTTTTTCATACATAATTTATGGAACTCCTGATGAGAATGTCTACATTGGTATGCTTACAACCTCTCATTTATGTATTCCATATTTTTTCATATGCAAATTATTTATGTTATAAGCTAATTTTTTTTTAGATATTATTGGTGAAATTGTTGAGATGAAAGACATTAAAAACGTAACATGTCGTGGTCGTCCGTCAAGATTACTAAATCTCCAGCTTATGGACCTTATGTAAATGTGATCATTTCTTTAGTTTTTTTTTTGTGACAATTTATACAGTGTGACGACACTGTCTAGATGCCTTTGTGTCTTGGTTCAATAAAACTAAT